GTAGTTCTCCCCTGTAGAAAATGAGGGGGTGAGAACCTCCTCGAAACTTGTCTAGCATGGCATCCATGTCGGAATTAGCTTCGATGAGCTGGTCGAATCTTCTTTTTACAGACCTCATCGTATTCCTGTTGAGTCCCCTGCTGAAGATGACCATAGCAGCGGGGAACGACTCCCAAGGGATATGAGAGGAGAAATATAAAGGAACGCTCCCCATGTATGGGAAGTAGAAGTCTTTTGGTCGCAAGATGCTCATGGCGACCGGTATGGCGTTAATATCGGGGGACTCCTTCCCCTTTTTGATATTTTTAGCTTCTGGAGCCTCTTCATGGGCAACCTCTTTTTTCTTGTATTATTTGAGATGTCCATCTCGAATCAGTATTTCAATTGCATCCTTGAGATGGATGCAATCCTCAGTGTTGTGCTCGTGGCTTTTGTGGAACCTGTAATATTTGCTTTTGTCGGTTCCCAGTTTTGAGGGCATTTATCGAGTAAAGTGTACCTTGGCCTGTTTGAACTCGGAATTTGCGCATCCAGATAGAATACGCTCCCTCTAAGTAGTTAGAGGGTGTAGTCGTGGAACCTCCTGGCGAACCCTTGTAATCCTTGGGGTCCCGAGATCTGTCGTCCTGTTTCTTCTCTCCTCGATGTGAAATCGAGGGTTCATCATTTCTTAAGGATTTGGCGCCCTCTTTGTGCCTCGATTCCTGGGCACTATTGGAGGCTTCCTTCTCCTCGTACTATATGTACACTTGAGCTTTGAGAAGGAGGGGGTCGAGCGTTATCGGTATTTAGATACCCACCGCTTTAGCGAAGTCACTGCGGGGACGGAGCCCACGCTCGAGGAGGTACTTCTTCATGTGATCGGTCAAAGAGACCTACATTACTTCCTTGTTGAAGCGCTCGATGTATGCCTGGAGAGATTCATCCCTGCCTTGGATGATTTCTTCAAGCAAAGCCTCTGACTTCGGGTATCGACATGAGGTTGTGAAGTGCCTAGAGAACATCCTCTTGAGCTGCTTCCAGAAGGTGATGGATTCATCTGGGAGACTCTTGTTCCAGGATATAACTCCTTTCTTGAGAGTGGTCGAGAACAGTCAGCATTTGATGGCTCCCCTGACCCCTCGGTAGTCGAGGAGAGCATTGATGTTCTCAATATGTTCGTCGGGATCTGTCGTCCCACTGTATGTTCCTAATGAGAGTGGCTTCTCTAGTCCAACTGGGAGTGGTTCCCCTATAATTTCTCTCGACAACATCCCGTGAGACTCGTCGTCGTTGCTATCTACATGAGACAGAGAAGGGGAGTGATAATTCTGTCCCCGTTGGGCATCGTGATCTCGACGGGGAGAAGGACTCCTCCATTGCTGCCTTAGCTTGGGCAATGGTAGACGACAGCGGTCGGCTTGGCTGTCGCTTTTATTTCTCTTGGATAACAGAAAGTCTTAATCTTTAGGTGGAGGTGTGCGGTCACATTTCTTGAAGAAAGAAATGTCGCGCTTCTCCTTCGCCGGTGGGAGGCCACACCTTGTTGGAGATATGTTGGGGGAATATCGTTGTCGGGATCTCCTAGGAGGAGATCTTGACCGCTTCTATTCCTAGGCCCCCATATATTTATTTTGTTGCAAGACAAGGGCGTTGGTTTGGTTGATGACAACGAGCAATGTTACGATGGCCGGATCAACGCTCTGAGGGATGGGAACTGGTTGTAAGATCTCTGGCAGTTCCTCAGTGGGGATCTTGGGACGTTGTTCGTCCAAAAATTACTGATCATCATGCTGGGCATCGATGGAATATGGGGATGCAGTTTGACCGTCATGGAGGTTGAAGTTATCCTCGAGGTGAGGATGTTCTTAACATCCGTCAGTCTTGTGCACCGGGGAAAGTGGAGTCTTTCCAGATGGGTGATGATCTTCACGGTCAGCCATGATTGTTGAATGGAGAGGATCTTTGGTTTTCAGACCACGAGGGATAAAAAAATGGGGAAGATAGACAATTCCCACAAACGGCGCCACTGATCTTACTGGTTGATCAGAACCTGCAAGGTGGCCGGATGACGATCTTCTATCGAGAAGGAAAGTTGAGGAGGGAAAAAGGGGGTTATACCTGCAAGGCACTCTAACGGTCAAGTAAGTAAGGGAGCCAAGAGATACAAGCAAAGTGTTACGATTTTAGTAGTGAATAGTGAATATTTGATACTTGACCCTTGATAAGTGCAAATTGTAGTTATTTTTGTATATAATTCTTGTTACACTTATCGACTTTTTGTTGTTAATATCGTTGAATAAACCCGACTTTTGTGTAAATATGTTTAGTTTGTGTTTATTTGTGTTTTATGTACATAGTGTATCGTTTGATGTTTTTCCATTTCTTTTATAGGTATTTGTTGCATTTTGGAGCATTGAGGAATAAGGTGTCGAAGGCACAACTCCGGATGTGTGTTTTCGGAATAAAAGACCAATTTTGGGACATTCTGTCCAGGAGATCCCACTTAGCACACAAAGGCCGCTAAGCGCGACTACCGCTCAATGCATTTTATAGCGTGCTGTTTGTGTTTGACAATTTGGAAAAACCAATGTTTTGAAGCCCGCTTAGCGCGGATAGCACGCTTAGCGAAGTTTAGGTCGGTTTGATGTGTAAAATAAGAAAGTCACACTTAGCGCGCCAGGCCCGCTTAGCGCGGTCTGCTGAGATTTGTTTTATAACTTTCATTTCAGTTCACTTTTAGAGATGATTTTAGGGGAAGTTTTTGCTCCTAACTCCATCAACCTGTAAATTTTGTTAGGATTAACTTAGATAACAACTATGGAACTCGCATACGGATGATCCGGGGTGGATTGCTCTTCGATCGGCGCTAACAAATCGGTAGATTTGCGGTTCATTTCTATTTTTTCTGTGTATTCTCTATTGGTTGGGTTTGTATGTATATTTTCTTTAAATTGTTGTATATATGTCGCCCCTGCGTTATATTAAACTTGTTTTACGAATCTTTATGGATTGTTGTCCTGGATTTTTACTTTGTGTTAGAAATTTGAGTTGTTATAGACATATACTGTTTAGATTCTTATCTAGGATGATTATTTGTTAGTTTCTGAACTCTAGAGATAGATTTAGAGCTGACATCTACTTGAGTATCAGAGCTTAATGCCTCTGTGTTGTTTGTGTTGCTTTGAGAGATCGTCGATATAGGCGAGCACGATTGACTTCTGTGTTGTTGAGGTGGTTGAGAGATCGCTACCGAGGTGATGCAGTCAGCTTCTCAATTTGGGTTAGAAATGACTTAGGTTGTGAGTGATACATAGTGACATTGATGAATATTGTGTTGAGTATAACAGGTCGATAGGTTTAAGCCTGCGAGAAGTAGTATATATGCATGCTTGATAAGCTATTCTTTTTTCCTTTTTATACATTTATTTTCTGTTAATACATTTTCTTTCAACTCATTTATCCCCAAACTCGTTAGCGAATGATTTGTAGAACGGAGAATCAATAACTAATCTTTGTGGACACGATACGATATAACTTATATCACCTAGTAAAAATAATACTTTACTTTTTGTTTACCGCTCTACAACTGCAACAACCCTCACATGTGTGAGGGTATATATAATACCTCTGGCACGTGGTCATTGGTTCCTATTTTTGGGCTAGATATGCCGACCCGTGAAAATAGATAATTGTCAGGATTGATCATACCGAGCAAGTGTGCCCGTACCTAGCCGTTAGTTCCGAAAAAGAGGTAGATTACGAGCAGCGGTCTGGTCGATTCCTGGTTGTCTGGGCGACTTGATGTCGGGCAGACTAGGGGATGTTCGTTGGTTATCGTGGGTCGGTGTCGGTCCAGGAGAGCAAGCGATCGATTGCGCCCGACAGGGGACGGAGACGATTCAGGTCAAGGTCGTTTAGGCCACACCAAAGAGAGAGTCTAGACTGGGTCCACTATGGCTGTCGGACCAATCCAAAAAAAATATATATATATATATATATATATATATATATATATATATATATATATATATATATATATATATATATATATATATATATATATATATATATATATATATATATATATATAAAAAAACAACATAAAACGAAAGATATATATTTTAAATTGAAAGAAATTAAGATATACATTAAGAATATTAATATATTAAATGACTCTTTGAAAAGTTAGAACAAATTATTTTTCTTGTCTTTTTATATATTAAATGACTCTTTGAAAAGTTAGACTGGGTCCATTATTAATATATTAAACTGTATGCTTTAAGATATATAATTTTTTTATATTTTGATTTAAGTCTTAACTTAATTTGAAACTATAATTATTTCTTTCTAAACATAGTAAAAATAAATTTGAAATAAATAAGAGCAATAAAATTGTATGTATTTAAAATAAATATCATTCAAATTTTGAAAGATTACAAATTAAATTCAAAATAAAATCAAAGTAAAATTAGGATATTTGATTATTTTGGATATACATATTCAAAAATTCCATAAAAACGAAATATTAAGTTATTTTGAATATACATCTCTGAAAACTCGCTGAAAATAAAATATAAAGATTTGTTCGAATATGCATATCCGAAGGATATTCTAAAATTTTCAGAGAGTCACCCATATAAGGATGTACTGAGAAATTCCCTTAGCAAAAACAATGAAAGCCCAACAACTTTGAAACCCAAACCAACCACTATTAACAAAAACAATGAAAGTCCAACTACTCATAAACATCCAACCTGAAACTATATGCAAAAGGACAGGAGAAAAACAAATGATTACAATTTTGAGGTTGTGCAATACAGAAAGAACACACAAGATAGAATAGACAAAACCACAAGTATCAAATTGTTGACTATATCGTTATAACTAATCTTTTGACCATTGTCTCAACACAAAACATCAACATATTGTCTAGTTTTATAACATTAATAATGGCATCAAGCAAAGTAATATTCCAGGAGCCATAAAAACAGATCTCCACTCTATGTTGAACCAATAGTCTAATACAAACATGTCTCAAGTAGTTTGAAGTAAAACATAGCCTGAACAAAAACAGCAATAAACAAATTCAAATATACAACATCACCGCCTCTATCAAACAAAATCATGCAAATCAAGATAAGTACTGAACTATAGATTAATCAAAAGAAAAACAAAAAGGTTACATGAAATTGGTTAATACAGATCCAAATGAAAGAAAGATAGATCTCACAAACGGGTGGGCCCACAGGAGAAAACCTCATGCGGCAACCTTAAAGCTTCAGATTTAGAGAAACAAGTATCATCAAGGTCTTGGCTGGTGCACCAGCTGCACTTGGAGTTCTGTGAGCACTTTGACTTCAACGCCAACTCTCCACAGTTGAGGAGGATCGGTCTTTTGCTGGTAGAAAAGGGTTTTCTAGATGAACCATCTTCAGCTACCACAGAATGAAAGGGTTGAAAGACAAAGAGAAAGAAGAAGAGGAAGAAGAAGAAGAAGAAGAGTGAGTTGGAGTTGGAGATAGAGAACACCATGGATGATTCCTAGCTCAAAGGTTTCAGCTTTGAAAAAAAGATAAATCTTTTCACTTTCTTTATTATATATTATTATGTTTTTTTTTTTTCTTTTCCTCCTTTTACTTTATTTCAGACATGTTGAAAATTGAAATGTCTTTGTTGGATGATTCCGTTGGTATAAGGTGCTCGAATGAAAATTTGTTGAGATATCCTTTTCACTTTAAAAATTAATAATGTTTCACATATTTTATTTTAGGTGAGTCATACTTTGAATTAAAAAAAATTTTAAGCCAAACCAACAAAAAATGGTTCTTGTAACGAATTTAAATGTTTTTATAAGCACAAATATATATAAATTAGATAAAAATAAAAGAAGTATAAAATAATGGAAAGACAAATTAAATTCAACTAAACCACGAAATCAATTTATAAAGGTAAGCAGATAATTCAAATATAATAAAAGTAATTTAAAATTAATTTAATTTAATTTACGTATATGATAAAATATTATTCATGGAATCCACACACGAAATCAAATAGTAAAAAGGTATTGTGTGAGTTTCCGCTTTTTAAGATGGTGAATGAATTAACCGTCAACATAGACGGATTCACAATCCAACAATTCTTAGAATAAAAATCAATAAGGAAGATGACTATTTCGAGCCAAACATTCCAACATCAAACAAATAGAATGATATGAGTCTAATATCAATCACGATGATTAATACGTATATTAAGTCAATGTCGATGAAGATGAAGCAAACCTTAATTCTTGAATCCTACATATCTCAACAAATATGGAGACAATCGAAGAATAAAAAAGATAATGATATCAATCTTGCACAAGAAACATAAACATATGATAGTGGCTAAGCAATTGTAGTTTAAAGGACCCACCAGAAAACGAAGGAACCACCAACACCTCCAGAGACGATGAACCAACCCCTCCACCGAGGTGAGCACCGAATCTGAGTCTCAGCACCAAAACAAAAAACTAAAAAGTGATCCAACCACCAAAAATATTGTTAGATTCGGTCGCCGACGAACCGAAAACATCCACCAAAAACGACAAATAGAATAATCACTGGCGAGAACCGAATTGAAAGCAAAGACAATTAACAACACAACTCCAAAGGACGACGTAAGGGGCGGCGACACCGGAGAATAGACTGTGGAGCTCGACTCCGACATGAGAAGAGGTGATGCAGAGAATCTATACTCTCGTCGCACCACCATCAACTAAATCTACATAATGGAACTTGATGCTTAGATTCGGGATAGGAGAAGAATATAACTAAGAGGAAAAGCTAGAGACGAGGCATAAATTTTTTTCTAGAGAGAAAGGGACGAAAGACTCAAATTTCAAAAAGATAGTAAATAAATATGTAATTAGAGAAGGGATGTTCTTGAAATTAGTTCAAACAAGTTCAAATTGAAAAAAGGATGTTATTGTAATTAACAGAAATATGCTTGTAATTAATTGTGAATTAGTTATAATAATTATATGTTTATTATATTTCAGATAGTGTTGAACAAGAGGAATACCAAAGTTAGGAATGTCGGATCTAAGAAGAGGGAAAAACCATGTGGAGGGAGATACTACGCCAAAAATAAGTTTTAGCAGCACATAAAAGGAAGCGCTTTTGGAAAACAGCGTTGCTGTAGGTTTTAAAAAAAATTCGCTTAAAAAAGCGCTTTCAAAGGGTGCCTTAAGAAAGCGCTTTTCAAAAGCGCTTCTAAAGGTCACCCTTAGAAAGCGCTTTTTGGGAAGCGCTGCTAAAGCTGGCCTTTCAGAGGGTACCTTAAGAAAGCGCTTTTCAAAAGCGCTGCTAAAGGTCAACCTTAGAAAGCGCTTTTCCAAAGCGCTGCTAAAGCTGGCCTTTAGAAAGCGCTTTTAAAAGCGCTGCTATAGGATATGCTACGAAAGTGCTTTTTGATGTAAAAGCGTTGTTATAGATGACCTTTAGAAAGCGCTTTTAAAAGCGCTTTCGTAGGTAGTTTTATAATAAATATCAAAATACAATTTGTATCACTTTTCTATTCTCAGTCAGATTTTTTTCACGAAAAAACCCTAAACCAGAGCTTCTACGGAGGTCAACGGCGCTCCACTTCTCCGGCCAACTGCAATTCTCCGGCTACTTCTCGAGAGGTTGGTAAGCGATGCAGAGAAACCGTTATATACCTATTTCTGAAGAATATATAATTTAATATTACTTCTTCATTTTCTTCCTTAATTTCTATTTTTTCTATCTTTTCTTATTCTATTATTTGCAGTTGTTCCACAAGTTTCCATAAATCCTGCCTAATATTGGAGAAAAAGGGTGGCTTGGCATCCATCTTTGCGTCACGTATCAACCACCAATCTACCACCCCTGCACCTTGGCATCTCTCTCAGCTCACGTTCACGTGGTCACCAAAGCAAACCACCACCACCACCTCACCTTGGTATCTTAACAGGTTTATTCTCAAACCCTAAAATGCGAATTTATGTTTGCTGTTACTTTTCTGTTTGTTGTTACAATGAGGTTTTGGTACATTCTTTTGATTTTGCAAACAAGGTGTTTGCTGAAATGTCACAATGAGTTTCTGTTTGTGATATGATTTTGCAAACAAGGTGTTTGTTGAAATGTCACAATGAGTTTCAGTTTGTGATATGATTTTGCAAACAAGGTGTTTGCTAAAATGTCCCAATGAGTTTCAATTTCTTACATTGATTGATTGTGATTTTTGATGTTGGAGTTATGTAATTGACTTGAATGAAGAAAATGAAATTGTAAAAGTGGTGTGCGGTTTTGTTAATTGATTGTTGTAGTTGTTTAGTGAATGATTAGGTTTTGATTATGTTTCTGTTACAAGTTTTTTGGTGAGTTGAGTTGAATTATGTTTGAGATTTTAGTTAGGGTTTGAACTTAACTAGCAGCATGTTTCACATGTAATTTATGATATTTTAATTTTACTTCACACCATTGCAGATAACACTTGATTTAAATTACGGCTTCAGCTCATGTGTTATAAATTGAAGAAGTCACAATTGAAGAGTCACTTGCAACAAACATAAACATGATGTATATACTTGTCCTCTTTATGTTTGTTAATTATTTTATTTTGAGAATGACCAATTTATGTTGTTCTTTGGTGCTTGATTTACTGCAGCAACATTTCAGTTACGTTTCTGCAACAAGTTGTATCACTGCAGAAGTTTGTGTCAGATGCACATAAAGGTAAGTATTTATGGACTTGGATATCTTCTGCTACTACAATTTTGGCTGCTGCGTTGATTGCCTATATTGCTAAAGGTCACTGAAATATTGTCCTATTTATTTTAGAAGATTAGTTTTTGTAATAGGATCAAGATATACCTTGATTTTTAGCTAAAATGTCTTGATCTTTATTAATGAATTACATTTGTTTCGACATATATTCACTTTGATGTGTATGCAGTATGTCTTTTTCATTTTATATAGTTGACTTATTTCAATCACTACATGGATTTCACTATTTGTTCGTAGTTTTTTTTTTTGTAATTTCACATGGTGGATTTTCTATTTTCCACAATTCTCCGCTGAAAATACTATTCATATGTTTACATATTGGGATATGCATCAACATTCTCTTTTGTTTTATCAGGTATGGTGGGATCTATCTAGACTATGATATCATAGTTTTGAAGCGAATTTCTTTTCTTAATAACTCTGTTGGAATAGAGGATCATGCTGCTGGAAGTTCTTTGAATGGTGTTGTGATGGCTTTTGGAAGGCAAAGGTATTGTTAGTGTGGTTCCTATCTTACAAAGACAAAGAGGAATTGCCAAACTTCCAACAAGGGTATTCATTTTGCTTTGCATTTACACATGCAGAGAAACATATGACAGCGCTTTTCCAGGCAAAAGCGCTGCTAAAAAACCACCTATGAAAGCGCTTTTCCAGAAAAAAGCGTTGCTAAAAGCCTACCTAAGACAGCGCTTTTCCAAAAAAAAGCGCTGCTAAAAGAAAACTTATGAGAGCGCTTTTCCAGAAAAAAGCGCTGCCTTAGGTAGACCTATGAAAGCGCTTCTTCATAAAAAAGCGCTGCCAAAAGCCTACTTAAGAGAGCGCTTTTTAGAAAAAGTGTTGTATTAGGTAGACCTACGAAAGCGCTTTTCATTAAACAAAAAGCGCTGCTAAAACCTATAGCAGCGCCACCTAAGAAAGCGCTTTTAAGCGCTTTTAAAGGCTAAAAAAAGCGCTTTCGTAAGTATTTTTCGGCGTAGTGAGAAGTCATTACAAGTTTCTTCTTCTCAGAATTTTCAAAGGAGTATGAAGCTAAAGAAATGTTTGATATCTTCATAGACTATGGGCTTGTTGTAGAAGTTCTAATATCACTAAAGAAAGATAAGAGGGGTAGGAGTATGGTTTTGTTAGATTCCAGAAGGTGAGGGAACATAGAAGGTTGGAGGTGAAATTAGATAACATTTTCATCAAAGGGAGGAAGTTTCATGCTAATGTACCAAGATTTCAGCGGGGAGTAGAAGTTCAAGGAGCAAAGCAAAAAGTGAGGGGTGAGGTTAACATAGGGGCTGGGAAGAATTGGGGAAGAATCTGGTTCAATGTCACTCAATGGCCAAAGTTAATGGTAGGTCATATGCACGAGCGGTGAATCCTAAGGTGACAAGAAATAACTCGTCATATAGGCATGTACAACTTGGAAAGAAGGTAGTGGGGTGGAGTGATTTTGAATAAAAGCCCAAGTTTGCACATCTACAATTTAATGTGGAGGAGTGCGATTTATCAAGATTTGAAAAGGATTTTGTTGGTGTTGTTGAGAGTCATGGGATGACTTAAAATATTTAGGAAAAGTTTCATGCTGAAGATTATTTAAGAATCAAAGTTACACCTTTGGGGGCTAATATATGTTTGTTAGAAGAAATGGAGGATGGAGAGATTAAAACTTTGATTACTGAGGCTAGTGACTAGATAGACATGTATGATCGGTGGATTTAGAACTGACTGTTTAAAGCTGGTTCGCGAAATGTCGCGGAAGCAAGAGTCGCCACCGTCTTTTATGTTCTCCAACATGGAAAGGAAAAAAGCACAGCAAAATTCCTTATGAGATTATCTCTTGGTTCGGGAGGTAGATTTATAGAACGGGAAGGTGTTAGCACCCTTTCTATCCGTGGTTATCCACGGGCTCTTAGATACTTGCTCATTGTGTTTTCAAAAGTGTTTGCTTTTCAAGATGTGAGTGGGTTTGAAAAAGTTTCGTTTAAAGTTTTCTGAATAACTCTTGTATCAGTCCTCAAGAGTGTTTGAAAAATTGTTTTGAAAGCTTTTTTTGAAAGTGTCGGTGTGAAAAGAGTTTTGATTTGTTTTTTAGAGCAAGTATCTATGAGTCATCTACCTACCCTAAGGAATTAAGCTGTGTAGAAGTCCTTAAGGTAGTGCCATCCCATCATTGAGAGGTAGGTAGCACCACCGTTGGAGGTGTTCGGGTCAATTCGTTTGTAGGGACAGTGTGGTCACCAGAGCAACAGTAGGACACCTTAGAAGCTACCCTTATGCCATTGATCCTTTTTTATTCCGAGGCAACCGTTTCGAGGCAACTAGATCATGGACATAAGGACTTACTAAAACGTCCTATACTCGACGACCACGTTTCGAAGGCAAGGCAACAGTGAGGCGTACCCTAAGAGTGGTGTGTGAATTTGTGTGTTGTTTTCAGTTTAGCATTTATCTTTTGATCATGGCATGGTGAGCTACGCATTGTTTTTAATTAGTCATTCATTGTTTCATGCAATTAGAATTTAAAAGTGCGGAAATTTAAATGCGGAAAGATAAAACCTACGCTATTACAAGGCGCAGGTCTATACATCGCCAAATTACAAAGACCCGTTTGGTAAAAATGCGGAAAGTAAAAGACCTAATTACTATTACATGGCTTGAGCAGTTACATAATATTCACAAAGGAAAATGCGCGAAAGAATTGAAGTTGAACGTTCGAGGGCGTTGGACCCTTTTGAAATTAAACTGAATTAAAAGTTAATTAATTATTTTATTAAAAGAAAAGAAATTGTTTTTTATGGTTTTTGTATTTATGAAATAAAGAAAATTAAAATTCAAGAGAAACCCTAATTCTAAGTTGTTTTTAATTATTTGAGAAAATGTTAAAAGTTAACCTAATTTACTAAATAATTAATGTACATGTTTATTTACAAAAATATTTAATAATTAATAATAATAATAATGAGAGAAGACCATTTATTAAAAAGAAAAGGTGAAAAAAATATCAAAACCCTAATTTCTACCTATTTTAATTTATTAAGAAAAAATGTTGAAATTGAAACCTAAATTAACTAAATTAATTGTTAAAGCTTATTTACAAAAATAATAATGGTGAAATTAATATTAATAAAATAAACATTTTTTTATTTTTCTGTATTTTATATTATGAAAAGTTATTTTATGGAATTAAAAGAAATAATTAAAACACTAAAAAGAATTAAAAGAAAATCAAATAAAAAATAAAATGATGCAAACCATGGGGGGTGTCTGGCCCATTTAGGAGGTTTTTGTGAAGTAATTTGGCCCACTGAAATCAGAGCCTTGTTGACTTTTCCAGTTTGAATGCATGTGGTTGACTGAGTGTACACGATGGACCTCCTTTTATAGCCTTCAGATGGATCATCATGAATATGTGGCAAGCCTGGGCGTGTGTGTGCATGGTAGGACGTTGAGAGCATGCTGCACATGAACACGTTACAACAAAAATTATTAAGTATATGGGGGGACCTGGGAATCGAACCCAGGTCCCAATGCCTGTAGGACAGCTCATCCACCAACTGAGCCATTGAGTTTCTTTGTTAATATAATGGAACGTGATTATTATAATAAGAAAACAAGCGTTAGTGGTAAGAATAACAAATTCACGCGCCAAATTTGAATTGTCCAGTAACATCCAGCCACGCTAGCTTTCTTCTTCGTTTGCCTGCAAATAGAAAACAGATAGCGGGGGTTTTAAACCCCCACTAAGTGAAACCTGTAAAAAATAGCGAATACGCCTATGGTTAACATAAATTGAGCGCGAATAGTTCAATCGCTTCGTCTTGTTGCCACGATTTGGTATGCACCGGTTTGAATGTCCAATTTTACCATATGAGGGAAACCCTAATTTAGAGCTTCTGAAACCCTAGAAAACGTTAATGGCAAATCTCATTTCAAGCATTGTTAGGATAATTAAATATTACCAATAGCTTCAGAACATCAACATTATCAAGAATCAACAATTAAAACTCATGAATAATGCATGTAAATTAAAAAACGATTATGGACATGTTCATGAAGAAGAAGATTCTGTTCTACCAATTCTTGGAGTATGGAGACTCGTTTTTGGTTGCAGTCGATTCCTAGCAATGTCAGGAACGTATTAGGATGCTTTTCAAGCCTTGAATCGTCCTGTAACTATGAGTTCAGTTTCCAAAATTTTGATGAAAAATGCAACTTTGTTCTAGGTTTTCTGAGCAGCTTTTCGTGTGTGTTAGCATTAGGTTATGTTGTGTATAAGTATTTGAGTGAAATTAGGTCAAAAAACCAAGCCCATAGTCCATGAATTAAAGTTTTGAATATTTGATTTTGTTCATATCTTTTCCAATCTTTTTCCATGCAATTCTTGCCAAATTTGGATGATATTGTCCCCTTGAGATGGTGCACGAAATCTCTTGCATATGTGGAAGATATTTGCTGCACAAAAAAGATTTAAAAACATGATTTGATATTTTTCTCATATTTAAAACTAATTAAATGAATTAATAATAATAAAAACTCAATTAATTAATTAAAAATAAGAAAATAAATCCCTTTGAGGTCAATGGGTCGTGCATAGCCTTTGGGTAATGATTCATGAAAGAAATTGAGGCCCATTAGCATTTTTGAAGCAAAGTTGATTTTTCAAAATTCCCAAAACTTTCCCAACTTCTACAAGGCATATCTTGCTCAATTTTTAAG